TCTGTGGCCGTTTGCGGTGAGGTACGCGGCGCATCAGCTCAACCTTCACCCCCGGGTCTCTCGGCCTGCGATGTCCCCAGCCCTGCTGTGGACGGGGAAGGTTGGCGATGCGTCTGTGTTCCGTGTCTGGGGATCTTGGGCGTTTGTCCGCGACTTGTCTGCGGACAAGCTGTCCCCTCGTGCTGCTCCCTGTGTCTTCCTTGGCTTCCCCACTGACGCCCCAGGGTGGCAGTTTTACCACCCCTCCTCTCGTCGTGTTCTGTCCTCCCAGGACGTCACGTTCGACGAGTCAGTCCCCTTCTACCGTCTCTTCCCCTACCGCACTCCTTCCCTCCCCCCTCCCCCGGACTTCCTTGTGCCGGTTCCCCCCCTGGTAGACCCCCTCCCCCTTCAGGTTCCTGCCCCCTCAGGTGTGTCCCAGGTAGACGCCGTTGACCCGGTCGAGGTTACTGGTGACTCTGGTGCTGCTGCGGGTGCTGAGCCTGGGGGTGCTGACTCTGGGGGTGCTGTGCGTGGGGGTGCTGAGCCTGGGGGTGCTACTGCTGGGGGTGCTGGGCCTGAGGGTACTACTGCGGAGGGTGCGGAGCCTGGGGGTGCTGAGCCGGGGGGTGCTGTGCCTGGAGGTGCTGGGTCTGGGGGTGCTGGGTCGGGAGCTGCTGAGCCTGGGGGTGCTGAGCTGGGAGCTGCTGGGCCTGGGGGTGCTGCGTCTAGAGCTGCTGAGCCTGGGGTTTCTCCTGCTGCTGCGTCTCGCCGGGAGCCCCTCTCTCCACAGGAGCTACGCGAGTGGTTCGCTCGCCGCTGGAGGCGTGCTGCTGAGTCTGGAGGTGCTGCTGGAGCTGGAGCTGGAGCTTCTTCGACCGTCGAGGGTGCGGGTGCTGCCGGTCCCGGAGCTGCTGGACCTGCGGGTCCTCCCGGAGGTGGAGCTGCTGCGGGCGCTGGTGCTGAGCCTACTTCTGTTGGTCCTGCCGCTGGAGGTGTGGGTGGCGCTGGTGCTGTCGCTGAGGGTGCTGGTGCTGTCCCTGCTGCGTCTGGAGCTGCAGCGCGGCCTCGGCCGTACTTCGTTCCGCTCCTGCAGCAGGTTCTTGGTCTTTCTCCTCCAGTAGAGGGTCCACCGCCTGTCCAGTCGCAGTCCCTACTGGAGCCTTCCTCTCCACTGCCTGCTCCCTCTCCTTACACTGGTCCTACTGGAGGTCTTGCTGAGCGTCGTGAGCCTGCGTCTCGTCCCGCGTCGCCTGTTCGCACTGCTCGCGCTAGTGGTCGCAGTTCGCGTCAGCGTCCTCCTCCTGTCCCTGGCACGCACCGGATGTCTTTGCGTCCGTCCACTGCTCCTCTGCGTGCCCCTTTGCCTTCTCCTCCTGAGTCTTCTCTTCCTGCGCTTGCCGACCCTGGGTCGGACTCTCTTCGTGCTGCCAGTCCTACTGTCACGCGTCTGCTTGCTACTGTCGTCACTGACCCCTCTTTTGAGTCCACTGCTGCGTCTGCTCTAGTCGCTGAGCTCGTCGACTTTGCTGCTTGCTGTCGTCCCGACTACGCTGCTAGTCTTGTTGCTGAGTCTGCGTCTGTCTGTCCTCCGTCCGTCGGGGGTGAGTGTGCTCTTGGCACGGACGTCCTAGAGGACAGGCAGGAGGAGTTACAGTGTCTAGCGACTGCTTCACCTCATCTCGCGTCTGTACTGCTTGCCCCTGAGGGAGACCCGGATGCACTAGACATCCCGACTCCGCGTTCTTACGCGGAGGCCGTAGAGGGTCCCTACTCCTCTTAGTGGCAGGCAGCTATGGATGCAGAGATGGCTTCCTGGAAGTCCACAGGCACCTACGTTGACGCGGTTCCCCCTCCTGGGGCGAACATCGTCAGTGGCATGTGGATCTTCAGGGTGAAGCGGCCGCCGGGCTCTCCACCTGTCTTCAAGGCACGGTACGTTGCTCGTGGCTTCAGTCAGCGGCAGGGAGTTGACTACTTTCAGACCTTCTCTCCCACCCCGAAGATGACTACTCTTTGGGTGCTGCTGCACATAGCCGCTCAGCGCGACTACGAGCTTCACTCTCTCGACTTCAGCACTGCGTTCTTGCAGGGTAGCCTGCACGAGGAGATCTGGCTTCGCCGTCCACCTGGCTTCACTGGGACTTTCCCTCCTGGTACCCAGTGGAGCCTCCGACGGCCAGTCTACGGTCTCCGCCAGGCACCGCGTGAGTGGCACGACACACTGAGGACTACGCTTGCGGCTCTTGGGTTTGCTCCTTCTACTGCTGACCCGTCGCTGTTTCTTCGCACCGACACTTCCCTGCCGCCGTTCTACATCCTCGTGTACGTCGACGACTTGGTCTTTGCCACAGCGGACACTGCTGGACTCGCCTACGTGAAGTCCGAGCTGCTGAAGAGACACACGTGCACAGACCCGGGTGAACTGCGCAGCTACCTTGGCTTGCAGATCACTCGGGACAGAGCACGCCGCACCATTACCTTGACTCAGTCACACATGGTGCAGCAGGTCCTTCAGCGCTTCGGCTTCACGTACTCCTCGCCTCAGGCCACTCCTCTGCCTACTCGCCACTCACTCTCAGCTCTGCCTTCGGATGAGTCCGTAGAGTTGAGTGGTCCGTATGCAGAGCTTGTTGGCTGCCTCATGTACCTGATGACCTGCACACGACCTGACCTTGCATACCCTCTGAGCATTCTTGCTCGCTATGTTGCTCCTGGGAGACACAGACCAGAGCACATGGCTGCAGCGAAGAGGGTATTGCGCTACCTGTGCAGCACGTCGGGCATGGGGCTAGTGCTTGGAGGGCGGAGTCCAGTGGTCCTTACCGGCCACGCGGACGCTTCTTGGGCTGACGACCAGGCTACGCAGCGGTCGTCACAGAGTTACACCTTCAGCCTTGGTTCCGGCTCTGTCTCGTGGCGGTCTACTCGCTCGTCTTCGGTTCTCGGCTCCAGTTGTGAGGCTGAGATCTACGCCGGGGCCATGGCTGCACAGGAGCTTCGCTGGCTCACCTACCTGCTGACTGACCTTGGAGAGCCGCCTCGTTCTCCTCCAGTGCTGTACGTAGACAACAAGGCCATGCTGGCCTTATGTCGAGAGCAGCGCTTGGAGCACAGAACGAAGCACATTGCTCTCCGCTACTTCCTTGCTCGTGAGCTGCAGCAGCGTGGTCAGTTGCGACTTGCGTACGTGGCCTCTGAGGCCAACACTGCTGATGTGTTCACCAAGGCACTCGCGCCTTGTGGCCATCAGCGCTTTTGCACCCAGCTGGGTCTTGTGCCTGTCTTGCCTCACTTGCTCTCCTCTTGACTTCACTTGTACTGTGACATATATATATACCTGCTCTTGCTTGTCTAGTTCTATATATATATGTCTGTACTCCTGCATGTGAACTGGCCTCTGGCCCTGCTCTTGTGCTCGGACTGTGTGGTGACGTTGTGATCCACCCTGAGCTTGCTCTGCTTTGCTTTACCTGACTGGTCTTGTGACCCCTTGTTCTCCCCCACTTTGCCTATGGGGGTGTGTCAGATTTATATGACATAGTTTCTGTAGGCTATAGTGGGGTAGCACATATGGGGTACAGGGTTTCTAGGGTTGTATTTGTACCCAATCTTCCATAGTCATTTCATTCCTGTTTTCCTTGCTTCACATTTCGCTCTAGGATCGAACGCGTCTGGTCGCCTTAGCTTCTCTGCTTCGAGGTTAACTGTAGCTGCTGCCGTTGTCGCAGGTACAAGTATCAGGTGTCGTCGTCGTCGCTTCTGCTGCTGCTGCGGCTTCCGATTGGTTCGCAAGGAGTTTTTCAAGTCGTGGGAGCGCCGCAAATATCTGCTTATACTCAGCACGTAACTCCGCGATTTTATCTATGAAGAAATCTCTATTTCCCTCCCTTTTGGCGATTTACAGAAAGATGCGCGACAAAAATAATTGAATTCTGGGTGCTGGTCGACTTACTGCGAGTCGAATTGACTGTAGAATCAACGAGCGCGAATTCTGTAGATCGCGTAAATCTCCCGTAGCTGAAATTCGCGTCCGATCTCGGCCGTTGAGGAGAAACTCGATCTGACGGTTGAAATTCCAACCCTTTTGGGCGAAATTCTCTAGGCCGTTGAGATTGAAATCGATCTGACGGTCGAAATTCCAGCTTTTCCACCCAAATTCCTGAGGAATTCAAAACCGAATCGAGGGGGACTTAGAAAAATTGCGCGTAACTGGTTTTACATACCCGTATCGGCGCTTCCGTCGTCGCCCCGCGGTTTTGAAAGGCCGGAACTAAGCGGTTGAAGACCTCGCGTGTAAACCCGCTCTGATTACCAAGTGTGAGGATCTGGATCAGGAAAGATAATTCTATTGAATGAATCACCTGGGTACAAGGCGAGGCTATATATAGGCTCGACACAAAGGCAGTAACCCTGGTGTTACTAGAAGGTTCCGCGGGTCGCGAAGCGTCCCGAACGGGTCATTCCCGAATTCGGTAGAAGGCAATTCGGTGGCAATCGAAAAGCCTAGAATTCAGTGCACTCAACCTAGTTCGGTGCCTATAACTATAATAATATAGTAAAAGCAACGAACCTAGGAAATCTAGCAAAATCAAGCAAAGCAAAATAAAGCTAAGCTAGATAGTGCATAATAAAGCATATTCAAGCTAGTAAAACATAGCAAAGCCGTCGTACTCTCACAAGCAGGGAGGGCGAGCAGGGAGGGCGAGCAGGGAGGGAGGGCAGGGAGGGACTGACTCGGTCTCGGGTGAAGTCGCAGACTCGCCCCGCCCGCACCGACTGGTCTGCCTCCCGCAGATAGACGTCTCGCATATAGAACTCCGGCACCTGCTCACGCCGTGCCATGCCATGCCATGCCATGCCGTGCCGTACCGTGCCGTGCCGTGCCGTGCCATGCCATGCCATGCCATACCATGGCGTGCCATGCCATGCCGTGCCGTGCCGTGCCGTGCCATGCCATGACATGCCATAGCATGCCGTGCAGTGCCCCGCCATGATACACAACAACAGACCGCACCAGGTCAGAGCATGGCAGCAGAGCACCACACAGGCAGGCAAGCAGGGTGGTAAGCAGCGCGATGAAGGAGGGGCGGGCTGGGCTGCCTTTTTGCTAGTGCCTTGCAAATGATCAGGATAGGAACTGCAGGATTGGGTTGAAAGAACATGGTTACTTTGCAGTGCTGAGCGGCGTCTCACCTCGTTCTTGAGCAGCGTGTGCTGGCACCATGCGGTGGGGTCCATGACGGCGTCCTGCAGGTGGTTGAAGTTGGCCACCGTGCTCCTCACGTGCACCCCCCTCACCCGCGATGCTGACTCCGCCTCGTGCAGTCCCAGCGCTGAAATCTGTGAGTCATTTGGAGAGGGGGAAGTGGGGGGCAGTGGTGGGCAGGGAACGGAGGAATAGGGAAGAGAAGGAAGGCGGAAGGTGGTGTGGAGGCGGATGGGAGAGGGAGGTAAAAGAGGTGGTGGGCGTGATGGCATCACAGCGGTCCATTCGCTTCTCATCATGCGCCGTGTGCTGCAGGTCATTTTGCAACAGGTGGAGCGATTAAGACAGGAAGAACGAGGAACAGGAAGAAGCGGAGAGATGGGGGAAAGGCAAGGACGAGGGGGTTGGGGAAAGGGGGAGAAGTCAATGACAATTTGAGTGCTCTATATCCACCCACCCCACCTTTCCACGCACCCTCTCATGCCACGATTGTTAAAATATCGTTCCCCGTGTCCTGCAAGTATCTTTTATAGCTTGGGTGGACTTGACACCCTGATATGGTTTGGGTGCACAAACAACTAGGGCTCACCATAGTGGGCTTGGGAACTCAAACCTTGGCCCTAATATTTGGCCCCCAAGGTTGGGTTGGTATATTATTGGAGGCCCAACAATCTTGGCTCACATGTGACGAAAATTATTGGACACCACAATAATTTACCGATCCAACTTAGTGGAGGGAGACAATCATGTTGGCCACTGTGGCCACCAAACCCCCTTTTAGGCATGAGCATGGGACCCGGCTTTTTGGCGGGTCGGTCTAGACTATTCGAAACGAAGACCCGGCTGGGTCGGGTCGACCCATGACCCGATTCCTGAAATGTGCTATGGGTCACTGGGGTTGGGCTGAGCTCAATGACAGGTGTGCAGTGGGGGTTGGGTCTTCTAGATTCACTGCCGTGATGAGTGGTGAGATGTGCCAAAGTGGTTGGGAATGACTGCCGTCGATAACTCATTTGTTGCATACGAGGGAGTGCCTAGGCATCCCGACCTCTGTAGATCGGCCAACGAAATCGCCAATCTGCAAAAATTGGCGGGCAATACTGCCGATTTCCGCTTCTCGGCGGGCGAAAGCGCTAATCCGCGTGGGTCGCTGGGTGAAATCGCCGATCTGCGCAGAGCGCGGACGAAAGCGGTATTTTCGTACCCGACCCAATCAGGCCAAGGTTTTGAAAACCTCGGGCCATTAAGACTCGACCCGCTACCCGCCTGACCAGCCCAAATCGGGTCGGGACGGGTCGGGTCGGTTGCTCATGCCTGTGCACTCTTACCTATGTATACCCCCACCGTTTTCAATCCAAGTATCACTTCTTCATGCCTCTACATTTCTCATATGGTATTAAAGTAATTAGGCTCACGCCTCTCCCAATCCATGCGGACACGAAGGTGCCGTCCCCTACCCCGTCCTCGTCCTCCGCCCTCCCCATGGTGGATGATACCTCCTCCGTCCAGCTCACGTTCATCAACAAACTCAACAAACTCCACACAGCGACCCCACCTACGTCTCATGACACTGATCTTTGACAAAGACCTGACGTTCACTAGAAAGTTCTAGCGGAAACTTAAGGGATTATTGAGGACTAAGCTTGCAACGTCTTCAGCATACCATCCCTAGACAGATGGCGAGACGAAACCAAGTGGTAGAACAGTTACTGCGCACAGCTTGCAAAGATGACATCAGCCACTAGGATCAACAGTAACCAACACTCGAGTTCGCCTACAACAAACTATACACGCGACCCCAGAAAAAACCATTTCTTATTGTAGTACCGACGTGACCTCGTTACACCACAACCGCCAACTGCACTGGTCCGCGTCCAAGCCGCTCATGACTTCATCACCACCATGCAACATGTCAGATTATTATATTGCTGATGCATGTTTGTAGGCTGTAGTGGGGTAGCCCATAGGGGGTACAACCCAATTAGGGTTGGTACTTGTACTGTTTTCTTTCGTAGTTCATTCACTCCTCGCTACTATCTCAACATGGTATCGAGCAGGTTCCCTAGTGGGAACTGTTCCTAGGGCCCACCAACTTTTCTGTCCTGCCCGGAGCGCGCTCAGCCCTAGCCCGAGTCGCGCTCGGCTTTTTTTTCCTCTGGCGGCCCGATCGCGTCGCGCCGCTCTCACGGTTTCGTCGCGCCGCCTAAGCGGCTTCGTCGCGCTGCCCCAGACGGTCGCGTCGCGCCGCGCGTGCCGCCCTCCAGTCGCGCGCCGCCCCTCTGGCCTCGGCGCCCACCTCCGCGACTCCGGCGCCGCCCTTGACGGCCCCGCGATCGCCGGTGACGGCCCCGCCGTCCCCTCTGCCAGCCCCGCCGCTGCACCTGACGGCCCCGCCGTCCCCTCTGCCGGCCCCGCCGCTGCATCTGACGGCCCCGCCGCTGCACCTGTCGGCCCCGCCGCTGCATCTTCTGGCCCCGCCGCTGCACCTGACGGCCCCGCCGTCCCCTCTGCCGGCCGCGCCGCTGCACCTGACGACCCCGCCGCTACACCTGCCGGCACCGCCGTCCCCTCTACCGGCCCCGCCGCTGCACCTGACGGCCCCGCCGTCCCCTCCACCGGCCCCGCCGCTGCACCTGACGGCCCCGCCGTTGCATCTACCGGCCCCGCCGCTGCACCCCAGCCGCCGAGCCGCCCCAGCAGCCGAGCCGCCCCAGCAGCCGAGCCGCCCAGCAGCCGAGCCGCCCTGCAGCCGAGCCGCCCAGCAGCCGAGCCGCCCAGCACCCAAGCCGCCGAGTCGCCCGAGCCGCCCGAGCCGCCGAGACGCCCGAGCCGCTCGAGCCGCCCGAGCCGCCCGAGCAGCCCGAGTCGCCTGCGCCGCCCGGTACCTACACTACCCGACCTGCCCTGTCTGGTGAGCGCAGCGCTCTCCTCTCCGCACTGCCCTCACCCTACTGCTAGCCTACTGCTGTCATGGCTACCCCCAGTGTCCTCACTTTTGACGCTGAGGGTAGGGCCATCGACTTTGACGTTTGGGTAGACGACCTACTGCTCTTCCTACAGTGCGATAGAGCTGACGGCCTCTCTCTCTTTGACCTCACTTCTGGTGCCTCTCCCGCCCCTGCTGCTACTGAGGATGCCACTGTTCGCTCACAGTGGGCCTCACGCGATGCTGCTGCACGTCTTGCTGTGCGTCGCCACCTCCCTCCCTCTGAGCGTGCGCACTTTGGCCAGTACAAGGGTGCTCAGACCTTGTACGACGCTGTAGTTGCACGCTACTCCTCCCCTGCCACTGCTGCACTGAGCCGCCTCATGCTACCGTACCTCTTTCCCGACCTTGCTGCCTTTGCCACAATCGCTGACCTCATTACCCACCTGCGCACTAGTGACGCTCGCTACCGCGCTGCGCTTCCTGCTGAGTTCTGCGCCAAGAACCCCCCCCCCCCCCCCATGTACATCACCCTCTACTACATAGTCACCCGCCTCCCTGACTCCCTTCGCGTAGTCAGGGACCACTTTCTCTCGGTCTGTCCCACCACTCTCACTGTTGATCTCCTCGAGAAGTCCCTCCTCGCGGCCGAGAAGAGCATTCTCGCTGTAGGGGCCTCTCGTGGTGACCCGCGCACCCCCATCTTTGAGGGGTGTTCCCCCTCCCCCCTGTTGCCCTCTGTCGCCTCTGCTGCTACGGCCGACCTCGTTGGTTTTGAGTCGGTCGGTGCGGCGTCTGCCCCTAGTGGGAGACGTCGCCCTGACAGGGGCAAGGGGGGCAGGGGCGGTGGTGGAGCTGGCGGGGGCGGTGGAGGCGGCGGCGGAGGCGGTGGGGGTGGTGGTGGGAGTGGTGGCGGGAGCGGAGGTGTCAGTGGCGGCAGTGGAGGCGGAGGCGGCAGCGGCGGTGGTGGTGGGAGTGGAGGTGGAGGCGGCGCTGGCGGCGGCGACAGTGGGAGTGGAGGTGGTAGCGGAGGTGGCGGCTGCGTCGACGGCGGAGGCGGGGGAGGAGGTCGTGGCTCGTCGGAGAGGAGTGGCTCCGGTGGTGGTCAGCGCCAGCAGCAGCAGCGTGGTCAGGAGACCCTATCCCCTCAGCAGCTCCGTGAGTGGTACACTGCGCGTCAGAGGGGTGGGGGTACCGGTCCGTGCACCTACGTCCTGCGCACTGGCAACCGTGCGGGTGAGCCGTGTGGTGGTCCACACCCCACCCAGCGCAGCTTTGGCCGCCTGACTGACGCTTGGCGCCGCCAGTTTCCTGACGCCACTGAGATCCCTCACTGGGACCAGCTGTCTAGGGCAGGAGTAGCTATCTTTGATCTTGACTATGATGCTATTCTTCGTGCCATGTATGCTGTGACTATTACTGAGGAGGGTGACTGTTACCGGTGTTTCCCGCCCGACCCGAGCATTGGTACTGCTGCTCTAGGTGCTGTTGAGACTGTTGTTCCAGGTGCTGGTGAGGCTATTGCTCTAGGTGCGAGTGAGTCTGCGTCATCAGGTGCTGGTGAGTCTGCTCTCTCAGGTACTGCGTCGGCTCCGGCCTCCCTCACCTTCACCCTTGACTCGGGGGCGTCTTGCTCCTTCTTTCGCGACCGCACCACACTCACGCCGCTAAGTCGGCCGGTTGCAGTCTCCCTGGCAGACCCCTCTGGGGATCCTGTTCTGGCTAGCTACTCCACTGTCCTTCCGTGCCCTGCGGTCCCGTCTGGCTCCCTGTCGGGTCTCTAACTCCCCTCGTTCTCTACGAACTTGGTGGCGGGTGCTGACCTCCAGGATGCAGGGGTTGACCAGTTCATCCCTGCACGCCGACGGGACACCCACTGCACGGACGCGGACACGGGCCGACACTTGACCACGTTCACGCGTCGGCCGGGGTCGAGCCTATACACACTCACTGTTCCGTCTCCTCCTTTTGTGTCTGTTCAGGTACCTGCGTCGGGTTAGGTGTTTGCTGCAGCGTCCAGGTCTGGTCCTGAGTCTGCCCCCTGTTCGTGTCGCCTCCTGTCCCACGAGACCCTCCTGTGGCACCACCGCATGGGTCACCCCTCCCTGCTTCGTCTCCGGAGCATGGCCTCTCGTCTTCTTGTCTCTAGTCTTCCCCGGTCCCTCCCTCCCCTTCCTCCGGGTCCTAGCCCTCCCTGTGTCCCCTGTGTCGAGGGACGGCTCTGGGCTACCCCTCACTCCTCCCCGTTTCCTCCGACGGAGGCCCCGCTGCAGACGCTTCACATGGACGTGTGGGGCCCAGCCCGCGTCCGTGGGCAGGGTCACGAGCGCTACTTCCTGTTGGTGGTTGACGACTACTCGCGTTACACCACGGTCTTCCCCTTGCGCAGCAAGGGTGAAGTCACTGAGGTGTTGATCGACTGGATCCACGCAGCTCGTCTCCAGCTCAGGAAGAGCTTCGGCTCGGACTTTCCTGTTCTGCGTCTGCACTCGGACAGAGGCGGAGAGTTCTCCTCTGGCCTTCTGCGAGCCTACTGTCATGCACGAGGCATCCGCGAGACCTTCACGCTTCCGGACTCTCCACAGCAGAATGGGATTGCTGAGTGCCGCACTAGCATGGTCATGGACGTCGCTCGTACGTCCATGATGCATGCGGCTGCCCCCCATTTTCTGTGGCCGTTTGCGGTTCGGTACGCGGCGCATCAGATCAACCTCCAGCCCCGGGTCTCCAGGCCGGAGACCTCCCCAGCTCTGCTGTGGACGAGGAAGGTTGGCGATGCGTCGGCGTTCCGTGACTGGGGATCTCAGGCGTTTGTTCGCGACTTGTCCGCGGACAAGATGTCCTCTCGTGCTGCTCCCTGCGTCTTCCTGGGTTTCCCTCCTGACGCACCTGGGTGGCAGTTCTACCACCCCACCTCTCGACGTGTTTTGTCCTCCCAGGACGTCACGTTTGACGAGTCGGTCCCCTTCTACCGGCTCTTCCCCTACCGCACTCCGTCCCTTCCCCCGCCCCCGCTCTTCCTTGTCCCAGGTCCCCCTCCAGTAGACCCCCTTCTCCCTCAGGGTCCTGCCCCTTCAGGTGTGTCCCAGGTAGACGCTGCTGAGACTGTCGAGGTCACTGGTGACTCTGGTGCTGCTGAGGGTGCTGTGCGTGGGGACACCGGGACTTGGGGTGCGGAGCCTGGGCGTGCGGAGCCTGGGGGTGCTGAGCCTGGGGGTGCTGAGCCTGAGGGTGCGGAGCCTGGGGGTGTTGAGCCTGGGGGTGCGGAGTCTGGGGGTGCTGAGCTTGGGGGTGCTGAGCATGGGGGTGCTACGCTTGGGGGTGCTGAGTCTTGGGGTGCTGAGTCTGCTGCTACTGTTCCTGGTGGTTCTCCGGACCTTTCTTCTCGCGGCGAGCCACTCTCTCCTCAGGAGCTGCGTCAGTGGTTTGCCCGGCGCTGGAGGCGAGCTGCTGGAGCTGGGGGTGCTGCGGGTACTGGAGGTTTCGTTGCTGCTGAGGGAGCTGGTGCCACGGGTCCTGGAGGTGCTCGTACTGCGAGTACTGGAGCTGCCGGGCCCGGAGGTGCCTCTGGAGTTGGAGCTGCTGCGGGTGATGGCGCGGAGTCTACGACTGCTAGGGGTGCCTCTAGAGCTAGAGCTGCTGCGGGTGCTGGCGCTGGGTCTACGGCTGTCGGTCCTACTGAGGGTACTTCTGGCGCTGCTGGAGGTGCAGGAGCTGGAGCTGCTCCTGGTGCTGATGCTGCCTCGGGGGGTGCTGGTGCTGTACCTGCTGTGTCTGGAGGTGCTGCGCGGCCTCGGCCGTACTTTGTTCCGCTCCTTCAGCAGGTTCTTGGTCTCCCGCCTTCCACTGGTCCTTCTCCTCCCTTAGAGTGTCCACAGCCTGTCTCGTTGCAGTCACAGTTACAGCTCCAGCCTGCCTCTCCGCTGCCTTCTCCGTCTCCCTACACTGGTCCTACTGGAGGTCTTGCTGAGCGTCGTGAGCCTGCGTCCCGCCCTGCGTCACCTGTCCGTGCTGCTCGCCCTAGTGGTCGCGGTTCGCGTCAGCGTCCTCCTCCTGTCCCTGGCACGCATAGGATGTCTCTGCGTCCGTCCACTGCTCCTCTGCGTGCCCCTTTGCCTTCTCCTCCTCAGTCTTCTCTTCCTACACTTGCCGACCCGGTGTCGGACTCTCGTCGTGCTGCTAGTCCTACTGTCACGCGTCTCCTTCCTTCTGTTGTCACAAACCCTTCCGTTGAGTCCGCTGCTGCGTCTGCCCTAGTTGCTGAGCTGGTCGACTTTGCTGCCGCGTGTCGCCTAGACTACGCTTCCAGTCTTGTTGCTGAGTCTTAGTCTGCTGAGTCTGCGTCTACCTGTCCTCCGTCCGTCGGGGGTGACTTTGCTCTTGGCACGGACGTCCTTGAGGACAGGCAGGAGGAGTTCCAGTGCTTTGCCGCCGCTTTGCCCCATCTCGTGTCCATGCTTGTTGCCCCTGAGGGAGACCCGGATGCTCTAGACATCCCAACCCCACACTCTTACGCAGAGGCGATGGCCGGTCCCTACTCCTCTCAGTGGCAGTCAGCCATGGACGCAGAGATGGCTTCCTGGAAGTCCACAGGCACCTACGTCGACGAGGTTCCCCCACCTGGGGCGAACATCGTCAGTGGCATGTGGATTTTCAGGGTGAAGCGGCCGCCGGGTTCTCCGCCTGTCTTCAAGGCGCGGTACGTGGCTCGTGGCTTCAGTCAGCGGCAGGGAGTTGACTTCTTTCAGACCTTTTCCCCGACCCCGAAGATGACCACTCTTCGGGTTCTGCTGCACGTCGCAACTCAGCGTGACTACGAGCTACACTCCCTTGACTTCAGCACTGCTTTCCTGCAGGATCGCGTGCACGAGGAGATCTGGCTGCGCCGCCCTCCTGGCTTCACTGGGTCGTTCCCTCCTGGTACCCAGTGGAGCCTCCGCCGGCCAGTCTACGGTCTCCGCCAGGCGCCACGTGAGTGGCACGATACACTGAGGACTACACTTGCGGCTCTTGGGTTCGCTCCTTCTACTGCTGACCAGTCACTGTTTCTACGCACCGGCACCTCGCTGCCGCCGTTCTACATCCTCGTGTACGTCGACGACTTGGTCTTTGCCATTGTGGACACTGCCGCACTTGCCCACGTAAAGTCCGAGCTGCAGAGGAGACACACGTGCACAGACCTGGGTGAACTGACAAGTTATCTTGGCTTGCGGATCACCCGGGACAGAGCACGCCGCACCATTACCCTGACTCAGTCACACATGGTGCAGCAGGTCCTTCACCGCTTCGGCTTCACGTACTCCTCGCCTCAGTCCACTCCTCTGCCTACGGGACACTCGCTCTCAGCTCTGCCTTCGGATGAGTCCGTAGAGTCGAGTGGCCCGTATCCAGAGCTTGTGGGCTGCCTCATGTACCTGATGACCTGCACTCGACCTGACCTCGCATACCCTCTCAGCATCTTAGCATGCTATGTTGCTCCCGGCCGTCACCGGAAGGAGCACATGGATGCAGCTAAGAGGGTGTTGCGCTACTTGTGCAGTACGTCGGGCATGGGGCTAGTGCTTGGAGGGCGAGACCGGCCTGTTCTCACAGGGCACTCAGACGCTTCTTGGGCTGATGACCAGGCTACACAGCGGTCGTCTCAGGGTTACACCTTCAGTCTTAGCTCTGGCTCTGTCTCTTGGCAGGCTACTCGCTCTTCTTCTGTTCTCAGCTCCAGTTGTGAGGCTGAGATCTACGCCACTGCCATGGCTGCCCAGGAGCTTCGCTGGCTCACCTACCTGCTGACTGACATTGGAGAGCGGCCTCGTTCTCCTCCAGTGCTGTACGTCGACAACAAGGCAGCCATTGCCTTGTGTGAGGAGCACAGACTGGAGCACAGGACGAAGCACATTGCTCTGCGCTACTTTCTTGCTCGAGAGCTGCAGCAGCGCGGACAGCTTCGTCTGCGTTACATGGCCACTGAGGCCAACACTGCTGATGTGTTCACCAAGGCACTTCCGCCTTGTGACCATCAGCGCTTCTGCACTTTGCTAGGTCTTGTGCCCACTGGGCCTCACTTGCTTACCTCTTGACCTTGTCTGTACTGCTGCATATATATACCTGCTCTTGCTTGTGTAGCACTGTTATATATATGCATATGGGGCCTTGTGGCCTTGAACTTATGCTCGGAATTTGTGTGGTATCCTTGAGGTCCACCCTGAGCTTGCTTTGCTTGACTGGCCTTGTGACCCCTTGTTCTCCCCCACTTTGCCTATGGGGGTGTGTCAGATTATTATATTGTTGATGCATGTTTGTAGGCTGTAGTGGGGTAGCCCATAGGGGGTACAACCCAATTAGGGTTGGTACTTGTACTGTTTTCTTTCGTAGTTCATTCATTCCTCGCTACTATCTCAACACACAAACTATGGGAGACAACTCACCACGATTCAGAACTCCCATAAACAACATGCTGATGGTTATTGACATGACTAGATGATTGGAATCGAAGACAGTTTGTTTTGGACACTCGTTCTTGGACCTTCTCATCTGCCGTCCAGGCTCCGTCCACGATTCTGTGGTCCTCTCCGCGTTGAGGGGATGGTGACACCAGTTACTTTCCGCTTGCACTTGTTATGTCACGAAGGATAGAGAGTGCACAGACACATTTCTGCTGAGCGGCGTCAAACGTTGATAGCGAACTGGTTACTGCATCTAATGATGTGCTATAAATCGAATATGGAGCGCCTTGATGTTGTCTACAATCAACAAGTTGAATCACCTGTTTTGATAAAGAACCGACGACGTGAGAGTAGCAACTATGATCCTTGAGCACACCTTGTTCACACCCCTTCTGGTCGCTTACTCTCCTACATCCCCCGATGCCGCTCCACCTACATGCGTACTTTTTGCACCCCCCGCCCTACCATTCACCACTTCACTACCACCCATGTCCCCCCCCTTCCCTCACCTCCCCCCCACCCCATCGCACCTTGCGTGGATTCATGATGAGGCGGCGGAAGCCAGCCTCCCCGGGGCAGAGGTGGGGGTCGGGGAAGCGAATGCGGTCGTGGCAGACGGGGTACGGCCAGCGGAACACCATGCGCTCCATCGAGAACGCCTCGCCCTCGGGCACGCGGAACGGTAGCGCGCACAGCCGCGTCGACTTCCACTGGCTGCCCACGCTCACCCACGGCACCGCCCGCACGTACGCCGCAGCTTCGGCGGCCGCGGCCGCCGAGCCTCCAGATGCGGTTACTGCAGCAGCAGCGGCGGTGGCGGCGGAATCAACGAGGGGGTCTGAGAGGGCGGTTTCGGAGGAGGAGGTGGTGGGGTAGGCGAAGGGATCAAGGAAGGAGGGGATGGAGGCGGGCGGCAGGCCGACGAAGAGGAACTCGTTGATGGCGGCTGGGATGACCCAGCGGGCTGTGAAGGCGTGGCGCTGCACACAGTCGTGCATCGCTAGCACCTGGTTGGGGGCCAGGCGGGAAGGGGGGTGGTGGGGATGGCAGGTGAAAGGGGTGGAAGGGGGTGACAGGGGAAAGATGTGGAAGGGTGGCTGGGGAAAGGGGTGGAAGGGGGAAGGGCCGCAAAGGCATGGCGGTGCACAGAGACATACATGGTCAGCGCCAGGTGAAGGTGGGAAGGGTGGAAAGGGAGAGGATGGAGAGGGAAGCACACTGTGTATGTGCGTATACATGCAAAAACACGTGCAAGCGTTGTTTCGCACACCTGCCCATTCCTCTCCAGATCAAACTGCTTGGCACCACTGAAGTCTGTGCGGCGCACCACTCTCCGCTCAAAGTCCTCATGGAAGCGCTCCTGCAGCTCTACGGCGAGCCACCCGCCGCAATCGTACAGCGCCACCACGGTGGCGCCCAGCAGGCAATGGTACTCCACCGCCTCGCGCAGCAGATGCACGGGCATCGATACGTTGCGCGCCGATGGGAGCAGGCACAGCACCGAGTGGAAGGGGAAGGGGAGACCTGGAGTTGTTGCGGGGAAGGCCAGAGGGGCTTCCCTGGTGGGGGGAAGGGGGGGGGGAGAGGGGGAAGAGTGGTTGTGGGGCAGAATGGGGAGGGCGTGCAAGGGAGGTATTAGGCATCAAAAGAGTAGGGGATTTTGAAGGCAAGGGGCAAACTGTAAAGGGCGTGGAGGGAGAGAAGGGGGTCAAGGCAAATGAGCAGTGAGAAGCAGGTGTTGGGGGTGGCAGCAGTGACAGGGAAGAGTGGAGAGTGAGGGGCAGGGAAAGAGGGCGGTGGTGGGACCAGCGCACCTGTTCTTGTGAGCCCCCTGTGTGCCCTCCACCTGTGTGCCCCCCCCCTTGCGCGCCCTCCCCATGTGCGCCCTCCCGCTGTATGTAGCCCTTCCTCTGTGCGCCCTCACCCTGTACGCCCTCCCCTTTTGCGCCCTCCCCCTGTGCTCCCTCCCCCCGTGTGCCACAGCGCTCACCTGCAGTGTGTGGCGGCCAGGCGCTTCCTCGTGGCCAAACACCACCCCCATGCCCACCTTTGAGAATTCCCAGCAAACCTGTCTCTTCGCTAAAGCTCCTACCCCTACCCTGAAGCCCATTACCCAGTGCGCTTTTTCCCCTTATCCCTGTGTTGCGCGTCCTCCCCCCTCTCTGCCCCTCACCTGCAGTGCGTGGCAAAGAGACGGCCTTTCATGGCCCACGGGACCACCCCCACGCCCACCAGCCTGCGCAGGCCAACGTGGTAACCACTGTAGGCTGGGGGGAGGGGGGAACGAGTGCCGGGGGTAGGAGGTGTCGGCATGGAACGGGACATAATGGTATGGGATGTTATCATATGCCTTCAGGTCTGTCTGCCCCTCATCTTGAATTGCCAATTTGTATGCGTCGAATGCCTTTGTGAAATACGTTCTAATTGGCAGGATTTAGAATTTGTGAGTGTGTTTGAATTTCATATTGTCTGAGCAGATATCTGAAATATCTTCTCTGCCGAAAAACCTTCCGGCGAACCAAAGATCGTTTCAACCGGCGAACCAAAGATACGAACGATCAGAGATCGTATGCTTTTAAGTTATCGTTATGTCGACTATGGGGATTTGTGAGGTTACTCTTTGTGGTAATAGACCATTATTAGTTGGGATAATTTAGCGCCTCATTGTAGTTGCTGCCAAGTGGATGGGAGAAACCAAACCAGGTTGACAACTGTGACCAATTTGAATGAGGTGGCTTGCATGAGTCAGGAAAAAATGTCAAGCATGAAAATTGAATTATTATAGGAAGGAGATTTTGTGTGGTTATGGGGTTTCTTGGTTGATGACTCCCTGGGGACCTTCTCTGTTGTCCTCTCTTTGTTCTCTCACCTGGTTTATTCCTCCTCCATTTCCTTGTCTGGATCTTGGTTGAACATTAAGTTTGAGTTAAGTTTCATCTACAGCACATCCATCGGTACGTCGAAACTCATATCTCGAGAAACATTTTCTCTTTAAATGCGATTCAAATTGAAAATGGTCGGTCTAGGGCTACAACATAGTCGATTTGGGTAAAGTTCTAACGGTGTGTTTTTTGTCAGCTGCGTTTCTTGTAAAATTGACGTTTCTGTCCAGAAACTTGGTTCAACGATTTGAGATATTTTGGGCCTCTAATCTACAGAATCAATACTTGGTGCTAACACATAAGAAACGGAGCATGGGGAACAGGGCATGGGTTATGGGGCATGGGGCAAGGGGAAGGGGGCAGGGACAAGGGGGCAGGGAGCAGGGAGCAAGGGGCACGGAGCAGGGGCCACGAGACTCTCTGCGGAGCTTTAAGGATGGGTGGTTTTCAATGGCACCCGAAAAATAGTGGGGATGTATAGTTTCTATGTTTATACCTGAAGCGGGTGAAGACCGAGTTGCCTGCCAACACACGCTGCCTCCACTCCAACGCGTCTAATGGGTCCACAGGCGTTGGGGGGAGGGAGGTCAAGGGAAGATGGTAAAAGGGGCTGTTATGGGAGGGAAGGAAGGATGTCTGGCGGAAGGCACGGGAAACACGAGAGACAGCAAGAGGAGATGGGCAGGGGCAAAGCCGCAACACTCACTGGCAAAGGGCCCTTGGGGAATGTACCCCTGTGTGGGCAGTGGCTCCGTCCACACCTCCTCGCCCTCCATGTCATCCAACACCGCCTTGCCCACCCTCGCTGCTGCCCCCACTCCCCCTCCGTGCCCCCCTACTCCCATCTTTATCCCCTGCCCCTGCTGGCCTTCTCGCCCTTCCCCCCAACCACTGCTCCTACCCCCCTCCCCAGCCACCTCTACACCCCCTTCCCCGCCCATTCGTCCCATTGTACCCCCTCCCGCTCCCCCTCCGCCCCCTCCCCGTCCTCCCCCTGCGCCCTCCTCCTCGTCGTCCTCCTCGTCCTCCAGGCTCAGCAGCTCCTCGATCCCCATGCTCTTCAGCCGCAGCCCCGTGCGTGCCCCCACCCCCATGCTCTGCTGCTCCTCCGCCTGCTCCATCGGAATGACTTCCTCCTGCCCTGCCTTGCCACTGAGCCTTCCCCTCCTCCTCCTTCCCCTACCCCTCCTCCGCCATTCCCCCCTCCTCCTCGTGCCCCTCCCCCCTGTGCCCCCCTCCCCTCCTCTCCCAGCCTCCTCTTGCTCTCTCCCTCCCCTCCTCTCCTCCCCCCCCTCTCCTTCAGCTCTCCACTCCCCGCCTCCCCACGTTCACCTCCAGCCACCCTCCTCTTGCGTCCAACCCCACTCTTCACCCCACCCTCACCTTTTCCCTTCCCCCCACCCTTCTCCTCGTCCTCCCCTCCCTCCTCCTCTCCCTCTTCCCCCTCCTCCTCTCCCTCCTCCCCTTCCCCCTCCCCCTCCTCCTCCTCTTCCTCCTCCTCATCCTCACCTCTCTCTCTACTCACAGCCATCCTCGCCTCAGCCATCGCCCTCTCCTCCTCACTCATCGCCCCCTCTCCCTTCCCACCGCCTCCCACCGCACCACGCCCCTCCCCACCCTTGTGCTTCTTCCTCTTCCGCCGGTGCTTCACCGCCTCACCGCCACCACCACTCTTAACGCCACTGTCCTCGCTGCCGCGCTCGCCCGCCTCGTCTCTGCGCACCTTGAGCATCGACACCAGGTCCGCCCGCTCGCTGTCCATCTCCTCCGGCTTCGCCCACTCTATCGGCACCACTCCCCCTGCGCCCCCTCCCCCCCCCTGCGCCCCCTTCTCCCCCTGCTCCCCCTCCTTCCCCTCCTCCCTCTGATTCCCCTCCACCCTCTCCTTCCTCACCTCCAGACGCTGCTTTCCCCCCCCCTCCACCTGCTCTAGCCCCTCCCCCCTCCCCTCCTCCATCTCCTTCCCCAGCCGCCCCCTGAGCTCTCCCCCCCTCGCTATCCACGCCACCTTCCCCATCACCCCCCTCTCCTCCGCTGACCCGCCTCGCCTCTCCTCCCTCTTGCTCCGCCCCTCCAGCATCCCCACCTCCCGCTCGCCCCTCTCCCCCGCCCTGCCCTCTCTCCAAACCATCAGCAGTAATGGCAGTACCTGCACCGGAACCAGCAGAGCGATCACCAGCACCATTACTGCCACCACCACCACCAGCACTCACAGCACCATCGCTACCTGCCCTCGTCTCCCCCTCGCGCCCACCAGTATTCTCCTCTGCTCTCCTTCCAGTCTTCTCTCCTCCCATCCCTCAGCCTCCCCTCCCCTCACGTCCTCCCTCTCCTTGCTGAGTCACCACTCGCCCCTGCTCACCCCCACCCCTGTCATCTCCGCCACCCCCCCCCTAGCGCCTGCCCCTCCTGCCGCGCCCATACCTGCCGCCACTCCTCCCTGCTGCTGCTCCTGCTGCTGCTGCTGCCCTGCCCCTTCCACCGTGCACTGCTCTTGGCCCCCCTCCTCCTTCTGCCCGCCTGCTCCCTCTCCTTGCGTGTCCCCTACCGCCGCCGCCTTCCCTGCTGCTGCAGCCTCTTCCTCCTTCTGCTTGGCAGCGCGGGCGGCAGCCTCCTTCGCCATCAGCTGCTTCTGCCGCTCGTGCCGTGCTGCCCTACCACTCAGCTTCGGGGGTTCCATCGCCGATACCACCTGCCCCTGCTGCTGCTGCCGCATGCCTGTGCCTGTTCCCCCTCCCCCTACCACAACCCCTTCCTCCCTCGCTCCTCCTCCTCCCCCTCCTCCCCCAGCCACACCTCCACCCGCCCCGACACGCACGCCTTGGCACGGACGTCCTTGAGGACAGGCAGGAGGAGTTCCACTGTTTTGCTGCTGGTTTACCCCATCTTGTGGCCATGCGGCTTGCCCCTGAGGGAGACCCGGATGCACCAGACATCCCGACTCCGCGTTCTTACGCAGAGGCGATAGAGGGTCCCTACTCTTCTAAGTGGCAGACAGCCATGGACGCAGAGATGGCTTCCTGGGAGTCCACAGGCACCTGACGAGGTTCCCCCTCCTAGGACGAACATCGTCAGTGGCATGTGGATCTTCCGGGTGAAGCGGCCGCCGGGTTCTCCGCCCGTCTTCAAGGCGCGCTACGTGGCTAGGGGCTTCAGTCAGCGGCAGGGAGTTGACTACTTTCAGACCATCTCTCCCACCCCGAAGATGACTGCTCTTTGGGTGTTGCTGCACATAGCCGCTCAGCGCGACTACGAGCTTCACTCTCTCGACTTCAGCACTGCTTTCCTGCAGAGCAGCCTGCACGAGGAGATCTGGCTGCACCGCCCACCTGGCTTCACTAGGTCTTTTCCTCTTGGCACCCAGTCGAGCCTCCGGCGGCCAGTCTACGGTCTCCACCAGGAGCCCTGTGAGTGGCACGACACACTGAGGACTACACTTGCGGCTCTTAGGTTTGCTCCTTCTACTGCCGACCCGTCGCTGTTTCTGCGCACCGACACTTCCTTGCAGCCGTTCTACATCCTCTTGTACATCGACGACTTGGTCTTTGCCACTACTGATACTGCTGGACTTGCCCACGTGAAGTCCGAGCTGCAGAAGAGACACACGTGCACTGACGTGGGTGAATTGCGCAGCTATCTTGGCTTGCAGATCACCCGGGACAGAGCACGGTGCACCATTACCCAGACTCAGTCCCACATGGTGCAGCAGGTCCTTCAGCGCTTCGGCTTCAGCGCTTTGTCTACTTGCCACTCGCTCTCAGCTCTGCCTTTGGATGGGTCCCTAGAGCCAAGTGGCTCATACCCAAAGCTTGTTGGCTGCCTCATGTACTTGATGACCTGCACTCGACCTGACCTAGCATACCCTCTTAGCATCCTGGCACGCCATGTTGTTCCTGGGAGACACCGACCAAAGCACATGGATGCAGCTAAGAGGGTGTTGCGCTACTTTTGCAGTACGTCGGGCATGGGGCTAGTGCTTGGAGGGCGGAGTTCAGTGGTCCTCACTGGTCCCGCGGACGCTTCTTGGGCTGACGACCAGGCTACGCAGCGGCCGTCACAGGATTACACCTTCAGCCTTGGTTCCGGCTCTGTTTCGTGGCGGTCTACCCGCTCGTCTTCTGTTCTCGGCTCCAGCTGTGAGGCTGAGATCTACGCAGGGGCCATGGCTGCACAGGAGTTACGCTGGCTTGTTATATAGTAAGGACGGAGTCTATGAAGATTAGGTGCCGAAATAACACAAAAATCGTCGGTCTCAATTTCTGGACAGAAACCGCGACTTCACAAGAAACGTCGTCGGCTAAAATTGCACTGTTGGAATTGTCTCAAACTCGAGTATGTTGTAGCTTGTACCCAGGGCTATTTTTTCCAATTTGAATCGTATCAAATGGTGGAGTAAATCTTGAGTTACGATTTTCGGCGCACTAGGGGGTATGCTGCCACATGCTTAACTCAATCACAATGGCTCTCACAAGTTCCACAAAGTTACACACAAGAGAGTTGGAGTGGCACTAAACCAGGTGAGAGGGAAGAGGAGGACAAGAGGGAAGGTCCCAAGGAGTCCCCAACCTAAGGAAACCCCATGCCACACAATTTCCTTCCCCATAGGCAACCCCACTTTCACATTCATCACAAAAACCCTATGCCAAGTTTGGTCGAATTTTGATTTCGATTGTCTTCGCGTAAAAAAATCCGTAGCCAATTTGGACCGACGGTTGGAGTCATTTGATAAGAGCTCCGAGACACATCTCGCGACAAGGCTTGGCTCGGTTCAAGTTCCAATTTGGCACGCGAGCTTTTCCGGATGACATTCCGACGCAATCCGTTTTGTTGCAAATTCGTGACCAATTTATTCAATACTAAATTCTGTTTTTGTTCATTTTGGATTTTGGGGATTTCAAAATTGCATTTATTATTGCGGTTTACAAGAACCATTATTCAGCATGCTAGCAACAATCAGTCTTAGCACCAGGTCAAATAGCCTACGCATTGGCGGGCCTTGAAAGCGCCCGGTGGGCAAGGACAACATCTCCAAGGTCGCCGTCGTCGATGAGGAACTTGTTCGGAAAGACGAACGCACCCATAGCCGGATCGTGGGGGATCCTCCGCTCCACGACAGCAAAATGGATCATCTGTTTGACCTTTTCGCACCACTCCTGGTAGTCTGGCCTGTTCTGCTCTGGCTGGCTACTGATTCGCTTGCGACGCTTATCCTGCAGAAGGGGCCATTCGATCTGCAATGTGGTGTAGTAGGGTTGGGTGGGTGGTTTATGAGGAGGGTAGGTTACGGGTAAATGAGGCAACTGAAAGCGGTGATGCAGTCGTCACTATCTACGTAACTGCAAATGCCTAATCGACCAGGGATTAGGGTTGAAGTACAGGCGAGGGGTTAAGGGGATGAGGCATGGGGGTACAAACACATATCTACATCCTTACCGAAAACAGGCCCCATGCCACCATGCGGCTCTTGAACTTGGTGAATACCGCCCCGCCCCTCTTGAAGGAGATCTTGAACGCATAAGCGAACAAGGGGTTGCTGAAGGGCGTCCCGGTGGCCTTGTCAAAGTGCCAGTTGAGGGCCCACTGTTCTGTTTTTTGGCAGGGAGGGTATGGGTTGGAAAGGGTTTTGTAGAGAAATCAAGTGGGGGGATGAGTGTCAGGGTGAGCCACATCGCACGGTGATATGTAGCTGCCAACTGGCATATGGTAGGGCATATTGTGTTTTCGAGTTGCACATACCATCTCTGTACTCGGCTAGGAGTTGAACGTCATCGAACCAGGTCGTTGGGTGTAGCTTAGTGGGCAGGCTATGTCAGAACATCATAGCTTACATATTTGTGTAGGCTATAGTGGGGTATCCCATAAGGGGTACAACCCAGCTAGGGTTTCCTATTTGTACCCACTTCGTTCATAGTTCACACATTCTCGTTCAATTCTTCTCATGGAATCAGAGCAGGTCCCCTCCTAGGGACTGTTCCTAGGGCCCACCGAAGCGCGCCCCGAGGCGCGCGTTCTTTTTTTTTAGCGACCCTGCGTGTCGCCCCTACCGTCACGCTTCCGCTGCTCCCTCCTCTTACGGCCGCCCGCCCTAGTGCCCTGACGGCCGCCCGCCCTAGCGCCCTGACGGCCGCCCGCCCTAGCGCCCTGACGGCCGTCCGCCCTAGCGCCCGAGCGCCAACCGCCCTAGCGCCCTGACGGCCGCCCGCCCTAGCGCCCTGACGGCCGCCCGCCCCAGCGCCCGAGCGCCGCCCGCCCTAGCGCCCGAGCGCCGCCCGCCCTAGCGCCCGAGCGCCGCCCGCCCTAGCGCCCGAGCGCCGCCCGCCCTATAGCCCTGACGGCCGCCCGCCCTAGCGCCCGTCCGCCACTCGCCCGAGCGCCCTGACGGCCGGCCGCCCGCCCGAACGCCTGAGCGCCGCCCGCCGTCGCCCCAACGCCCTCGCGCCCGACGCCCGCGAGCCGCCCGTCGCAGCCGCCCGTGAGCTCCCTGAGCCGCCCGCGCCGCCGTCCCTGAGCCGCCCGCGCCGCCGTCCCTGAGCCGCCTGTGCAGCCGCCCGCGAGCCGCCAGTGAGCCGCCCGTCGCGACACCTGCGCCGCACGAGCCGCCCGTACAGCCCAGCAGCCCGAGCCGCCAGAGCCGCCCGCGCCGCCCCAGCAACCCGAGCCGCCCGAGCCGCCCGAGCCGCCCGAGCCGCGCGAGCCGCCCGAGCCGCCCCAGCTGCCCGAGCCGCCCGAGCCGCCCGAGCCGCCCGAGCCGCCCGCGCCGCCCCAGCAACCCGAGCCGCCCGAGCCGTGCCGCTGTTCCTGAGCTGTGTTCTTCTGCTGCTGCACTACCCGACTCTCCCAGCCCGGTGAGAATTTCAGCTGCTGCCATGGCCACCCCCAATGTCCTTACTTTTGACACTGAGGGGAGGGCCATTGACTTTGCCGTCTGGATTGAAGACCTGCAGCTGTACTTACTATGTGATGCGATAGATGAGGTCTCTCTCTTTGACTTTGTCTCTGGCGCTGTCCCTGCCCCACCTGCTGATGCTGACTCTGCCGTTCGCTCCAAGTGGGCGACCCGCGATGCTGCTGCACGTCTTGCTGTGCGTAGCCACCTCCCTTCTTCTGAGCGTGCCCACTTTAGTCAGTGCAAGACCGCTCAGGCCTTGTACGACGCTGTAGTTGCACGCTACTCCTCCCCTTCCTCAAATACCCTTAGCCGCCTCATGCTACCGTTTCTCTTCCCTGACCTCGCCTCCTTTCCCACTGTTGCTGACCTCGTTACCCACCTCCGTGCTAGTGACACCCGCTACCGCGCTGCCCTTCCTGCTGAGTTCCGCGCTGCGAACCCTCCTCCCATGTACATCACTCTCTACTTTCTCGTCACCCGTCTCCCTGAGTCCCTTCGTGCCGTTAGGGACCAGTTTCTCTCTGTCTGTCCCACCACTCTCACTGTCGATCTCCTTGAGGAGTCCCTGCTAGCGGCTGAGAAGAGTATTGTCGCTGTAGGGGCCTTTCGGGGTGACCCTCGCACCCCCATCTTTGAGGGGTGTGGTCCTTCCCCCCTGCTGCCCTCTGTCGCCTCTGCCGCTGCGGCCGACCTCACTGGTTTTGAGTCGGTCGGCGCGGCGTCTGCCCCCAGCGGCAGACGCCGCTCTGGCAAGGGCAAGGGGGGCAAGGGAGCGGGTGGAGCTAGAGGGG